GGACCAGGTTTGGTTCCTGGCCAGGCATCTACACAAGCACTATGGCACCATTATTAATGCAAAGTAAATTTGCTACTTTCATTTGCAGGTAACAAATTTGGTTAGGATTAGGGAAATTTGGTGGGAGTGATTTGGTGGGAGCATTAGCTTAACAGTCATTAAGTGGGTTTAGACAGGCACCTACATATGCAGTCATTAAAGCTCATTAACGCTGTGTATGGACTGACTTGGGACTAAAGCGCTTTAACACATCTACATGTGAGTTAATGCGCTTTAACCATTTTTCCCAAATTCACCATTTTAATGTGCATTAAAGGCACACACATGTAGATATGAACGCTTAATACATATTAAGTGAAAGCGTCACGTGTAGACCCACCCACTGTGAAGTAAGCATGCACACATGAAGATTCATGTGCTTACTTTACAGTAAACTATGATAATTTGCCATAAGTGTCTGGCGTAGACGCACCCTCTACAGGATGCAGAACTGCATGAGAATTGAAATGCATCCACTGGTCCCATAATTTATCTTGTCTTTCTATTATTCTTCTTACTCCTCCATCTGACCCTAGTTTCATCCTCTTCACATTCCAATCCTCAAGCAACTTTCAATGGGTGACATTTCAAAACAAAACAAAAAATCGAAATAAATGCCCTAAATGAGGTTCCCCACTCCTCCAAAAGTTCCTCTTATATAGAATTTACATTGGCCTGAGACGGGATGGATAATATGCAGCCCAGGAAATATCACAGATTGAAGGTCATGACCTTTTGGCATTTGAACCTTTATAAGGCTGAGCATAGAAGTTTCTCAGCTTCACTGTACACACACAATACTTGCTGCTAGCCCTGAAAGACAATAAGATACTAGAATTCAAAAACAAAGCACGGTTACTCCCTTAGCATTCCTCAGTCTCTGACCAATAATAGTAATGTGGAGTAATCTTTTGAATATCAACATTGAGCAAGCTGAGCAGGTCATCCCAAGTGGCACTGATAAAAGCCACATATTGTATAGGCTGCATGTGCCATGCACACTGCAGACAAACTATTTTAGGATGCTTTAGAGAGTCTTCCAAAATGTTATTCTGTCTGTTTTTTTTATTCCCTTGTCTGTAAAGCCAAGTGCATGAGTAACCATGAAGCCAGCTGTGCAGGAAACAGATGGAGAGAAAAAAAAACCCTTATAAATATAACACCTGAAAAACCTTCTTAAAATAGACTTTCTATACATAAATCTGTCAGAATGTAATGCCTGGTATCTTGGGGCCTTGACAGAAGAGAAGTGGGACCCACTGTGAAGGAAAGATTTTTATATTTTGAATGGTACTCCCTCCTCTTCTTCTCACTATTTTTAGCCCTCCAAGATTCTGATGTTTCAGACTTCAACTCCATAACAAGCCTATGTATTAGAAAGATTTGCTGACCTAAGACTAAGCATCAATTATGCTGGGACCCAACTCAGGGTGATTTGGGGGGCAGAAAGCATGCTTTATGTTGTGGAGAAGGAAGAAAATTCAGTGGGCAGGCTAATTTTTTAAAAACAGAATACAAATATTTTTTAAGCTTCTCTGAGGATTGGAATTTTAAAATACCAAGCAGAGTCCTGAAAGGCTGATCAGTGAGCAGAAGTCAGCTGATGCCAGCAAGGATATCTAATGATGTGCATATTATTCCATGCCTGTATATTTATTTCTCAGAGCAGCTGTACATTGATGCAAACCAAAGCAAAAACAGAATCAAATCATGTGGTTTCAGTTTGATTTAATGAAAATATTGTCCCCTCTGGTGAGCATGTTATCCAAAATGTCAGTGCTGACCTACTTAGTGGGGCAATGTCCAAGTGATTCACTGGTGGGGGTGGGAAGCAATTTTAAGTCAGTAAATGTATGTGTGTGTGTGCATCTACAATGCAAAGCAACTGTGCCAAGCAACAGCATCTCAAATACTGCACTGCTCTATGCAGGCTATTTCCTGAACTGGAACCTTTGTACCTCAGAGACAAAGCATGGAAAAAACGTGCCTGGCCAGCTGTCTCTCACCCTTAGGCAATGCCCAGGGCACATGCCCCATTTGCCCACCCCATGTTACACTACTAGTGTAACTGCTGAGTGACAGTGTCATTTCACTCACCAGCAGGAAGCAAATGTGGCTACACTGCTCCAGGTTGGGAAGCAGTGTATGCAGAACCTCACTGTGTATTTGAGGGCAATGCTGTCTAGTGCTGCAAGTCTGAAGTGTGATAAAATAGCCGTGGTCAACTGCACATCGGATAGAACAGCAAATATTCAATTGCAAATGCATTCATATGCAAAACTGTTCTTGCTCATGACTATGGCTGCATATTCAGATGATCCTCACATAAACAGTATTTTTGCACCTAACTCTGATCTGAAAAGATTTATGCTCAATTAAGCCAAAAAAGTAAACTCAGGCAATTCACAACCTGATTGCAGATGTTCCACAAAAAGAAAAAAAACTAAATGTAACAAATTATTCACAGTGGATGCAGCTGGTAGCAAATACTAAATGACTGTGCAGTACCCGGTGGGCACATGGGTCCAGGGGGCACATGGATCATTTCTGACTCTATTGCGCAGTAGCAACAACCTACTGTGTAGTAGCCTGTTGCTACTGCGCATTAGTGGCAGTGTCTCTCCTTTATTATGAGTCCAATAACACATGGATCAGAGGGAGAAAACAAAATATAACTATTAAGTAGAAAAAAATGCCTAAAATATTCCCGATAGTTTTTCTGTAGACAAGAATATCATTTATCTTAGCTACGTCCAAGGTTTTTAAATAAATGGTGCCTCATTACAAAGTTTTTCCCCTCTCTTACCTGCTGCTATATGAGGTTGATGGCCCAGTGTAGAAGGCAATTTTAACACTGCTACATCTCTGACAGATTGAACAAAACCATGATTTGTACAGCACCTATCTGGCTCAGTGCTAGTTTGAAAGTAGGGGACCAATTCATGTGATTAAATGCATTGTTTTGCTGAATTGGGGCCTAAAATAGAAGCACAGTTCAAATCAAGTTTCCCTCTAAGTGGCCTCTTGGACATTCAAGAGGCAACTATGTGAATGTGCAGGGATACAGTGTGGGTATCTATGCTCCTTGGTGGCAATTTCAGGATCAGCAGGAACGTTCACTAGTACAAAACAATGTAGGTCTCTCCTCATCTATAAGCACTGAATGCTGATTCCCTGGCATCACCTGCCTTGTTGACTCAGAAGGAAAGAACCTATTTAAATTCTCAAACTTACATTCCCATATTGTCTATCATTATGCTGAGAATGAGGGTATAAATTAATTTTAGTTTGACTATTTAAACATTATCATCTCCAGGTTAGTTTATCTGGGATGGGGAGATGAGGAATTTATTTGGTTTGTACTATGTTTGTTGCTAACTGGTGTTTTATATTCACCTACATGCACCTAGACATTATGACAGCTGCATTTGTTATAAATCAAAACATAACTAACGGTATTTTAAACTAAGTACGCTGGCTTCCTCTTTCTAACTAATCACATTATTTAATAATTAAGAAGCTTTATAGCTGTGGCAGTGCTAACCTACTGGCTACATCCACATGAGCACATGTGTATTTTGTGGTATATCAAAGTCTTTTGAGGCATTGCAAAATGCACCCAATGCACGATTTGGTTTTCCGCACTGCAAATATGCAGCATAGAGCCAAATTTAGATTCCAGGAAATCCTGGTATAAAAAAAAAAATCATGGAAAAAAAGTGGGACAGCACATGTGGTGGCAGAGTGCACCACCTAAAACAGGAGCCTGGCTGGCCAAAGCCACGCTCTGGCTACTGGCCAGGCTCCACGCTCCCAGATTGCCACCACTGAAGCCCTGGGAGGCCCCCGGGATCCCAGGTAAGGCTGCTGGGGCCAGCCCAGATGCTGGCCCCAGCATCCCTTACCCCACCTGGAGCATTTTTTCCTCATGCTAACTCCACATGCAGGAGCGTGTGCTGGGGCAAAAAGTAGCAGCACGAATTTGTGCCCCTGCTTTTTTCCCCACAGCATCCATATGCCTATTCTTATGTGGATGCAGCCATTGAGTGTTTTCACGGGACTCTGTATCATGAATTAATGAGCCTATTTCTATTTTCAATAGAAATAATTTTCCTTTCCTATAACATCACTTCTTATGCTTTTGAGTCAGGGGCACGGACAGGGGGAGGGACACCAGTGTGCTTAGTCCCATTGTGATTGCTAATGTCTGAAAACAGAAAGTTAGGCCCTGTTTTATATATCTCACAACCTCAGGGGATGGGAAACAAATTAAGAAGAGTTACAATGGGAAGGGACATATCACAAAATGGCTGACATGAAATTGCTGTTTGTATGCCCACAATTACTCTATAATATGTAAAACCTAAATACAAGAATCTTACCATTGAGTAAAAATGGCTAACATGCCACTATTTAGCCTTCATCTACTGCCAGAAAACTGAGGGCAACCGGGTAAATCCCACCTGTAACTCATTTCATTTGACTGAAAGTCTGTACCCTAATTATAGAATGTGTGTGTTTTTACTTATGGGCATGTCCATGTTGGAAAAATAATTAGGTCCTTAATGCAAGTTACTTAACTTTTGTTAAAAGTAGGGGTGCACTGATAAAGATTTTCTTGGCCAATACCGGTAGCCAATGATTAACCAACCATATCAGCTGATACCGATCTGATAAGTCAGAGGTGGGCAAAATGTAGCCCAGGGGCCGGATGAGACCTGCCAGGCCATTCTATCCAGCTTGCGGGGCCCCTAAAAACTTTAGAAAATCAACATTAATCTGCCCGGAAGTAGGGGTAGAAGAAGCTTGCCCTGTTTCCCATGTTATATCTATTCCGTAGATAAACCAAGAAGCCCTATTCCAGAACTGCCAGTCTGACACCTTCTACCAGAATTGAAACCAGTGAGAAAAATAAGAAAAACCTGCATGTGTATAGAGGGGGGGAAAAAAGAATCACTTACCCACTAGTTCCAGGTCTCTGGGCCTGAGAGAAGCGCCAGTCAGTATTAGGCTGTGCTTGCTGCAAGGGAAAAGAAAAGTGTTTTAATGTTTCTATTCTTGACTTTAGATATCAAAGCAACCTGGCCCAAGATTATTCCAAAGTTAAAATCGAGCTATGCTGAAGAAGGGCTGCATATGGATAAAAGAGCATAATTTTAAAATGAAATTGAGCAATAAGAGAAGTATTTTTTTTTTCAAGGGAAACAAACCAACCAGGACAAACAAACAAAATAAACAATGAGACACTGTCCCTTTCCCTGTCCCTTTCTTTCCATAATATTTCTGAAGCAAGATTTTTGCTAGGAAGCATAACAGAACAATTCAATGAATAATTGAATAATTCCAAAAGCAGGTTGGGAAACCAATCTGTGAAAGAAATGTAGCATATGATAAAAACTGATGACATCTATTTAACTTGAAGAACTCTAAAAATGTAATGAGCCAGGGAGGAAACAGAGCTAATTGACACTGAGAAGGGTATGTTTAAATAGCAAAAGCTAGAATAATATCAGAACTTCCTAATCCATCGTTTCTCTGTTTTTAAAAATGCCTGAACCCAATCCTGGCTACACAGTCTGTATTTTGATCAGTCTCTTCCTGGATGCTGTTGTCTTTGATGAACTACAATATATTTTTCTGTCCATGGCAAAAACAGTTTGCCTTCCACAATAACATGCATTATTTGTTTAGGGGACACAAGAGACTACAGACATAACAGCACTCTAAAAACTTGATTACTGGCCTTGAATTACTTTCCACCCACATTGTTTTATTATCAGACAATGGACAGTTTGTAAATAAAGAAATACATGAAACAGCTTTGTCTATTTCTGGTTTGAATCAACTCTTTGTGAAGAAAGCTAAATGGCAGAACTGTTTTCTGTCTGAAATACAAGTAGTTCTAAGAATCATTCTAGCCATGTTCTTAATTAACCTGGGAGTAATAATGTGCTACCTGAAACACTACAAAGATTTCTCTTGAGCCATGCTGGGAATGAGCAGTCTAGGCTCTATAAAGCAGAACAGCAGCCATACAAGATAATACAGCCTGTACATGCAATTAGTAATGAAAATGGAAACAGCTGACCTAGTTTTTCATTTCACAGAAGATTTGATATCACTAATTTACCCAAGCATTGGTGATTATGGTAAAGAAAAGCAGAAGGATAACTGCTGACTTCCCCAAAACAGAGACATCATTGCTGTATAAGTTGTGTGTAGACTAAATAGTAGACAAATAAGAACTATACACTCAGTCACATACACAGGTACAAAAATATATGCATACTAGGCCACTAGTTTTTTAAATGTATATGCAAAAATGTATATAAACAAATGCACAAAATCATTTTGTAAAAAAGGCCACCTTTCTTATTTTCTAAAATGATGTTCTAATTGTCACTTTCTATTTTAGGACAGAGGGTTACAGACATCAATATGATTTTAAAGCTGAATCCCAAATTATCAAAACTAGTTGTCTAAATAATTGGGTATCTAAACAAAAGTAGCTTTTTTCAGAGGTGTTAAGCATCCCCACATTGTACTGAAGTGAGAGGGAGATGTGAGTGCACAGCATATTTTACAATGGAAACATGTATTTAGGTACATTAGTATGGATTTCGGCACTTCACTTTAGGCCTCCCAGTTTAAAGAAGTCTGGTATGGTCAGCAGTTAATACAACACCCAACTCATCAACTGATAATTTCTATAGCACACCTGTAAAATATTGAAACAAAGAAGCTTGTTTCGTAAACAACTCTGTTCCAAGTATAGCTTCTTAAGGTCCATAAAGTGGCAAAAGTTAAACATGAAAAACTTTCAGATACAATTAATAAGGCAATGTATTATGCTAAAAACAACAACACACAAAAATGGCTTTAAATGTCATGGAAAAAAAAATCAACCCAAATCCCCAGACCAGCTACTGCTAATGTAGGAGCTTTCATTCTAGTAGTAGATGCTATTTACACCTTCACCAGCCCTGCCTCTTGCTAGGTGGGTGATGGCAGTAGCTGTTCTCCAGAAGGCTGCTAAGTGTATTTAAAGGACTGGAAGAGAATAGCGTGCTAACATGAGTATTTATGGGTAGCTGCACTAACAGACAGTACAACAAGGCACAAATTAATCTTACCCCATCACAAGGACTGGCTAAGGTGCTGCCCACCTGCTCAAAGGCAGCCATGCTTTCTCCAGTAGAAGAATGGCTGAAAGGTTTTATGAAGAGGAAGTCACCTTGATCAGACATTGGAGATAAACAAGATTTGTAGCATTGTGCCTGGGAAACCAGGCCAGTTCCTCCAAGGCCTGGTTTCAGCTGCCCACGAAAATATGTGGTGGGCTCATGGCCAGTCCTCCTGCAACAGAATATGCTAGGCCAGCCCACAGCTCCAGGGCTAGCTTTGAGGCACTTAGCACCCAAAATGGCTAGCATTGCACACACTACCAGAGAGATGGCCACCAAAGAAATTATGAGATAGAGGGTTAAACTGGAAGCTCTGGATGGTGATTTAGGAAGTTCCATGGACTTGGCAAAGTCTTGCAGGCTGTTCTCTTCCAAGGGGATGAGGAGAGTAACTGAAGCTGACAGAGAGGGAGTCCCATTATCTTGAACCAGGACCACCAGCCTGTGGGACAGGCTCAATTCTCTGAGGGTCTGAGTTACTCGTATCTCCCCTGAGTGGCGCTCTACACTGAAAGGACACGGCTCACTGCTTTCCTGAAGCAAGTAAGAAAGCCAGGCATTGTGACCACTGTCAGCATCAACAGCCACAATTTTGGTTACCAGGTAGCCAGGTTCTGCAGAGGCAGGAACAGCCTGCTGGAAGGCAGAGCCCTCCGGAACTGAGGGATAGATAATGGTGGGAGCATTGTCATTCTGATCCAAAACAAACAAGTGGACTATGGCCGTACTGCTCAGAGGTGGGGACCCAGCATCCTTCACCTCCACAGGCACCTGGAACACTTTCTCCTGTTCATAGTCTAAAGCTTGCAAAGTATAGATGGTGCCGTTTTCCTGGTTGATGTGAAAAAAGGTTGATAAAGGTAAATCCTGGCCTCCATGATCCACAATGGAGTATGACAGCTTGGAGCTGACACCTACATCAGGGTCAGAGGCTGATACAGAGAAGATGGATGTCCCAGGAAGGGTGTTTTCCTGCACATGAGCTGTATAGGAAGGGCTGGAAAACCTTGGTGCATTGTCATTCACATCAGCAATCTGAAGGAAGATGGTTTTCTGTGTGGAGCGCTGAGGGGACCCAGAGTCTGTGGCTCTCACTGTGATGTTGTAGCCAGCAGCTTTTTCCCGATCCAAAGGCCCATCTGTAACCACAGAGTAATGCCCTTTGAAGGAAGTCACCAACTTAAATGGAAGGTCTTTAGTTATGTGCAGATGGACTTGTCCATTTTCCCCAGAGTCACTGTCCTTGGCAGCAATGAGTGCAATCACAGTGCCCAGGGGTGCATTTTCTTGTACTGGGCTGGACACAGAGGTGAACACAATCTCTGGGCTGTTGTCATTGACATCAACCAGCTCCACTCTCAGGTTGCAATGACCCTCCATTGCTGGGGAACCCTTATCTCTGGCCCGAACTGTGATCTCATAAGCACTGGATTCCTCAAAATCCAAAAGGGCTTTGGTTCTGATCTCCCCTGTGAGAGGGTCTAAGCTAAATTGCCTGGGAAGCTTATCTGGAGCGTTATTGCTGGCTTTGAAAGAATATTCAACCTCCCCATTGGGGCCTTCATCCAAATCTGTGACATTCACCTTTGTAACCAAGGTGCCCACTGGTAGATTTTCTTCCAGATAAATGGTGGAAATGGGAGGTTCACACACAGGAGAGTGGTCATTGGCATCCAGGACATGAATCGTGATCTGGGCAGTGCCTGATCTAACTGGATTCCCACCATCCAGAGCAGTGAGGGTCAGATGATGGGCAGCCACCTTCTCTCTATCCAGGGATCTCTCAAGCACTATCTCAGGCATTTTAACACCATCCCCCCTCACGCTTATGCTCAGGACAAAGTAATCACTGGGGCTGAGCTGGTAGGTAGAGACGGAGTTGGAGCCCATATCCGGGTCTTCTGCTACCTCGAGGGGCAGCCGAGTCCCAGGACTGGCGACTTCGCTGATCTCCAAGGAGACTTCCTGCTTCGGGAACTTGGGGGCGTTGTCGTTGACATCCAGGATGTCCACCTCCACGCGGTGCAGCTGCAGGGGGTTCTCCAGCACCAGCTGGAGGTGCAGGGAGCACGTGGCGCTCAGCCCGCACAACGCCTCCCGGTCTAGTTTCTCATTCACAAGTAAGACTCCGCTGGCCAGGTTCACCTGGAAATACTCGCGCCCGCCTTCGCTGACCAGGCGCAGATTGCGGGCAGCCAGGCTCCGCACATCCACCCCCAGCTCCTTCGCCAAGTCCCCCACAAAAGAGCCCGGCTCGCGGTCCTCGGGCACGGAGTATCGAGTCTGTGCAGCGGCCGGATCCGGCAGGGAGCAGAAGGCGCCGAGGAGCAGGAGCTGCCATTGCAAACTCCGTCTCCAGTGCATGCCGAGCCGCGTCTGGCGGGCGTGTGAGCGCTGCAGTCAGGCGGCGCCGCCTGCCCCCGGCTCCGGACCGACCGCTGCGCCGCCGGTTCCGAGATCCCCGGAGCCCCGTTCTCAGCTGCTCCCGGGTGACCCGAAAGGGCGGCGCGGCTGCAGGAAGGCAGCTGGAGCTGGGGGTGGGGAGCCGATCACAAAGGCACGGTTCAGCAGCTCATTGGCAAACAGCGGCGCAAAGTCGGCAAGCACTGGAGACTGACAAGCGACTCATCGCGCCTCCCAGCAGCGTCGCCCCTTCCCCAAACCCCCTCCTCCCCGCCGCCCAGCCTGCTCCCCTTGCCCCAGCCCCGTCGCTTCCACGCCCGGCGGGGAAGAACTCCGCGAGTCGCTGACAAAGCGAAACCCGGAGCCCCGCGCGGACTGTCAGCTCCCGCCCGCCAACAAATCCGAAAGTGCAGGTGCTGAGCACTGAGCAGGCAGAGCTGCCGGCGAGCCCTGGGGCTTGACACGACCCGCCAGGGCGCGTCGGGGGAGCAGGCAGGGCAGAGCGCTCGCTCCCCTCCCCGGCCGGGCTGCCTGCACCGAGCGGTATCCCGCGAGCGCCTTTAGGACCTAGGCGTGAACAGGCAGGCTGCGGCGCACGGGCCGGGGTCTCTGACCAGGCTGGGTCAGCTTGGGAGCCGCAGGGTCAGTACTTGATGCTCACCTCACTAGAGTAGCAGGGATCAGGTGCGTTGCTGCCCGAGGTGTTTCCCGAGGGTTTCATGAACATGAACTCGCTGATGTCCGAGACTGGGGAAAAGCAGGATCTGTATCCCCGGGCGGGGGGAGCCGTGGGGGTCACCTGGACACCGATCATGGTGTCCGCTGCGCCGGGCTGGTACTGCAAGTGTCCTAACAAGTGGTTCGGGGGAGGACCGAGTGTGTCCCCCTGGGCACAGCAGCCGAGGCCGGAGGACTCCGCGCGGGTCTCACGCCTGAGGCATCGGACACCCAGACCCACCAAGCCAGCCAAGGAGATCGCGGAGACGATTGCTAAAGAAGCGATCAAGTACAGAGTTATGCCGGGGATGTTCTCGCTTTCTGCAGTGTGAGCCCTTAGTCCCCGGAAGGCTTCCGGAACACCCTCCTCCAGGAGCACCAGCACAGTGACAGCCGTGGACATGGGCGGCTCTCCCGCGTCCTTAATCACCACGAGGAGCTCCTGCGCCTCTGCGTCCTGCTCCTCCAGGGCTCTGGCCGTCCTGATCTCTCCAGAGCGCAGGGCCAAGCTGAAGAGACCGGCATCCGTAGCCTGCTCTAAGTGGTAGGACAGCCAGGCGTTGAGTCCGGAGTCCAAGTCCACCGCCCCGATCTTGGCTATTAAGGCCCCGGGGGGAACAGAGCGAGGGATCTTGAGCTGAACCGTCGCGTCCCGCCCGGCCGCAGGAAACCGCACGCCGGGTGCATTGTCGTTTTGGTCCGTGACAAAGACGTGCACGACGGCTCTGTTGCTGAGAGGTGGGGAGCCGCCGTCTGAGACTTCCACTTGGACCTGGAAATAGGGGGTTTGCTCATAATCAAAAGACAGCAGGGAGGAAATTTGCCCATTGCTTGGATGTATGGCGACGTACCGGGAAGGGTCGGCAGCAGGGCCTGTGTCTGGGCCGCTCACAATGGAGTAGGAAAGCCGCGAGTTTTGGTCCTGGTCGAGATCCACTGCAGACACAGTGAGCAGCACTCGCCCCGCCGGGTTGTTCTCCGCCACCATGACCTCGTAGGAAGCTCTCCCGAACCGCGGCGGGTTGTCATTGACGTCTGAAAGGGCAACGGCGAGAACGATGTGTCGGGAGAGAGGGGGATCCCCCAAGTCAGCGGCGAAGATGGTGACGTTGTACTGCGGGATGGTCTCGCGGTCCAGCGGGGCACTGGTGAGCAGCGAGTACTGGTGCTCAAAGTCTTTCCGCAGCAGGAAGGGGAGGTCGCTGGGCACCTGGCACTGGACCCTCCCGTGCTCCCCTGAGTCTCTGTCCCTGACATGTAGCACGGCAACTACGGTGCCAGGAGGGGCATCCTCGCTCAGGGAGCTAGAGAAGGAGGTGACAGCTACCTCGGGGGCATTGTCGTTCACATCCGTGACCTCCACCACCACACTGCAGTGCTCCTCCATGGGAGGGGAGCCCATGTCCCTGGCCTCCACTTCAATCTCGTACAAAGCCGCCACTTCGAAATCGACCCTCCCTCGAACGCGGATTTCTCCCGTTTGATCCTCTATTGCAAACACCTCGCGCAAGGCTTCGGAGTTGTGGCTGCTCAGCGAGTAGCGCACGGCTCCGTTAGGCCCTTCGTCCACGTCCGTGGCGTTCAGCCTGGCCACGAGGGTTCCCAGGGGCGCGTTTTCCACGAGGCGGACGCGGTACGAGGGCCTGTCGAAGACCGGGTGGTTATCGTTGGCATCTAAGACCTGGATAGCAATTCGCGCTTTGCTGGACTTGGGCGGGGAGCCGCCGTCCTCAGCCGTCAGAACCAAGTAGTGGACGGCCCTGTGCTCCCGGTCCAGGGCCTTTTCCAGCACCAGCTCCGGGAATTTGCCTCCGTCTGTGCGCGCCTTCACGTTGAGGCTAAAGTTCTCGTTGGCGCTGAGGTGGTAGGTCTGCAAAGCGTTGGAGCCCACGTCCGGGTCCTGCGCCGGCTGGATGGGGAAGCGGGCACCCAGAGACGCCAACTCGTAGATCTGTAACGCGACCTCGCTACTCGGGAACGCCGGAGGGTTATCATTGATATCCAAGATTTCCACCTCAATGCGATACAACTCCACCGGGTTTTCAATTGCGAGTTTCAGGTGCAGAGAGCACCGGTAGTTCTGTTCACAGAGATGTTCTCGGTCTATTCTGTCGTTGACCACTATAACCCCTGTGTTCACATTGACAGAGAAATACTGAGAATCAGAATCAGAAAGTACCTGGAGATTGGCAGCAGCCAATTTTGCCACGTCAGTCCCTAGATCCTTAGCAATGTTTCCCACAAAAGCACCCCGCGTCAGTTCCTCCGGGATAGAGTAACGGATCTGCGCGGAAGCACTCTGCAAAAACAAACAGAAAGGGAAGAAACGCGGGAATCCCAGAAACCAGGCAGACTTTCCTGATCTTCGCATCTCGCTAAAATCCACAGAGGGATGCGATGCACTGCAAAGAAAGCCTGTCTGCTTAAACTCCTGGAAGCGGATCTGTGGTTCTGTAACGCAAACGGGGGTGGGGGATGGGGAGTCTGTGGTCACTGTTTACCTCTCCCATTCATTGTTTTGGGCTCAAATTGGCAGAATCTTGTTCGGCTCCGGTGGAGAGGGGAGGGGTGAGCTCCGATCTCCAATATTAGCCTCCTATTCATTGGCCGAGAGTGTCTTTCCGTTCATCCAATCAGCAGGCACCTTCCCAGTACAGCAACGCGAGCACCAATCCATGTAGGGAAGTTGACACAGTGCAGCGAAGGCCCTTGCAACCTGCAAATTTTAACCTAGAGACACCAGGCAACAAACAGACAATAGAAAGCAAAGCTAACTCGCCGTGATCGCAGCGTGTGTCAGCCACGGCGCCTGCAGAACTGTTAGCTGGACTGATGATTTTTCAACAGAAAAGCGTTTTCTCTAAAAACCACTGGATGATCTTTTGAATACATCAAAACGCTTTAAATTAGGCGCAGAAACCTGCAGCCGCTGTCGTTTAGAGTTGAATGTTAGTTAAATGAAAATAAAGACTAATGCCTGTTCCTCTGTCCTTCCCTCCCTCCCCCATCAGATCTCCTAGATAAATATAATTTAAGTACTTGTTTTCACACTCCAGGAATTCATAATCATGTTATAAGGTTTTCATTGCTTAAAGGACAATCAAATGAGAACACACAGGATGAAAGGATCTGGGACTTTCTGATTCACACACTAATTAGCAGCCCGTTGCGTTAGAGTGCGTCTGAAAGATCTAATTTACAAGGACATTTCTAGCGTTATTTCACACATGCCCAACAACCCAAAGAACCCGTCGGTGGTCCGGCGCACTCACGATGCTGACACATTTTTGTGGTTTGTACCCAGACACGATGCTGCTCTATCCTCGCTCACGCACAAAGTACGTTTTGAGACACAGGGGCACTTGTGAGGAATGAAAGGCAAAAGCACTCTCACCTGGCCGGGTTCGTTCAGTGTATTTTTACCAGGTAGGAAAGCATCAGTTTCAATCGGAAGGGTGCTGGCGGGGGGACAGCTCAAAGGTCTCAGAAACGTGAAATCACTCCTGTCTGACCCCGGAGAAAAGCAGGTCCGATAGCACTGGCTCTGAGTGTCTGCGGGCCTGAGGGTCACCTCCATGTACTTTAACGTGCCATCCGAGTTCAGCTGAAGCTTTGGGCTGGAGTGTTTGAAAAAATCCCTGGAGGGCGACTCGCTGAGGCCGCAGCAGGGGGACTCTCTGTCTTTTTTCCTAAGGCATTTTGCAGACAGTACGATGAAAGTAACCAGAGAGACCATGCTAATGGCCGCTAGCGCAATAATCAGATAGAGGGTCAGGTCAGGTTTAGCTTTGGGATCTGGAAGGAAATCGCGAGCTTTGAAGCTTTCCTCAGATATTTTTTCTTCCAAGGAAACCAGGATGGTGACCGTGCTGGACAAAGCAGGGTCCCCGTTGTCCTTGACGAGCACGAGGATTTTCTGCTCCGCGGGGTCTAAGTCTTGGAACCCGCGGGCAGTCCGGATTTCTCCCGTGTAAGGAGAAACCCGGAACAAGGTGGGATCTGTAGACTGCGGCAGCAGCGAATAGGAGAGCCAGGCGTTATGGCCAGAATCTGCGTCTACCGCTGTGACTTTGGTGACTAGGTACCCCGCTGGTGCAGACTGGGGGACCCTGTGGGGCTCTGCAGCCCCCCCGCCAGTCACCGGGTACAGAATGGCGGGGGAGTTGTCGTTCTGATCCAGAATAAAAATGTAGACGGTCGCATTGCAGCTGAGACGTGGAGACCCAGAGTCCTGCACAGCCACGGGAATCTGCAAGACACGAAACTGCTCAAAATCAAAAGTGCGCTGGGCATAAATATTTCCATCGTCCGGGTTAATATGGACAAAAGAGGAGGCAGGAGCGCCCTGGATTTCACTTTCAACTATAGAGTAAGTGAGGCGGG